CTCAATGGCCTCTATGATATGAAAAATTAATGAAAACATCCATAAAATAGTCAGTGTAAATTATTTTAAATCAACATCATAAAATCATGAACAATAAATCATCTAGAAGAATCACATGGACAAATTATTTAGCATAGGGCATACAATGTCAAGGAAATCTACAAATGTTAGACTCAATATAGTCTTGGGAGCCTAGACTGCTACTTCATTCTGTTTGGTGCTTGTGTTCCTATTCTTGTAAACCTAATTTGTGGGGTTAACTAGTGGTGCTCTGGTTGCTGGCTCTTCCGGGTCCTCTGCTGGTCTCGCCTCACCTCACCTCACATTGCAATGCTTCACATCCAGCCAGCCCAGCTCTGCATTTCTGCACTCTGCACATAAGAATGCAGCTAGGTTCTCCACACCAAAGTGGTATTCACTTATCTACTCACAATATTGCATGCTTTCCTTTCCTTTTTCCTTTTTTAGTATTTTATTAGTTTAACAAAATATAAAATACAGAAATACAAAGAAAATAAAAATAATGGGGAAATAAGGGAGGAAAAGGGATAGAGGGAAAAGTGTAGAGGAAAGAGGAAAAGAAAAACATTGACCTCTGACTCCTTTTGAGGCAGAGAATAAAATAATAACATAAAACCTCAGCTTTCTATAACAGCAAACCTACCTAATAAGCAAAACCCAAAATCAAAGTTTCATTTTTTTCCAGCTCAAGCACAAGTCCAAAAGCAGCTTCCAAGTAGAAACAAAATTAATTGTGTTCTCTTTTTTAATCAAAGCAATCAATTTAGCCATCTTTGCTAACTCCATCAACTTTTGCAGCGATTAGTTCATTATGGGAACCAAAGTATCTTTCCATTTTCGTGCATAAGGTATTGCTGTCATCAACATATATAACATCAAATTCCATTTTTCTCCAATTTTTTAATCCATTAAATCTAAGAAAAGTCTCTAGTTTTATTTTTATGTTCACTTAAAAAATCTTCTGTATTAAGATATAAATCCTGCTCCAATATTTCTTTGCTTTGTCACATGTCCTACATAAGTGATAAAAAGTTTCTTCTTTACATTTACACTTTCATCGTTCATTTGAAATGCCTTTATACATATTCTTGACAATTTGTCTGATGTTAGATACCAATGGTATCTCATCTTACAAAAGTTTTCTTTCAAATTATAATTGAATGTGAATTGTAAACCTTTCGTCCGCATATTCTCCCATTGTTCAAGCATTATATTATATCCAAGTCCTTTGTCCACTGAATGATACAATGCTTTACATAGTCATTATCCAAGTTCAATTTCAGTAACAATTTTTATACCTCACCAATAATATGTTCATCATAGAGCTATGGATTTGATTTTGTGAAAAATGAATTGGAAATCACACAGTAGGATTTCCAATTCATTTTTCACAAAATCAAATCCATAGCTCTTGTTGCCTGGTTTAAATCTTCCTTTCACAATATTGCCTGCTTTCGAACTGCTGGGTGGACAGGACATGGACAAAAGGAAAAAGCAAAAACAAATATGAAAGGACAGAACGTTTCTCAACGTTGCAAACTTCAAGATGTGTGGGCTTCAACCCCACAGTTCCCTAGTCAACTCCTATGTTGGCTGTGAAATTCTAGGAGTTGTAGTTCATTCATCTTCAAATTGCCAAAGTTGAGAAACACTGAAATAAGAGATAATACAAATCATGAAGTCAATTTTAATACTCTTTGAAAGAGCTCAGTGTTTAAAAGCCATCAGGGAGGGGCATTATTATCTCAATAATTGAAGAGGGACAATTGTGCAGATACCCAGATGCCAGGCTATAAACGGCTTTATAGGTTATATAATGGCACTTTAGATTGTAGTCAGAAATCAACTGGCAGCTAGCATAGGACCTGCAATATGGCTGTTATAGCATATATTGTCAACATCAGGCACTGGTTAATACATGAGGCATTACATTCTTGATCATTTCCAAATAATGTTTATAGTGGTCTCATGTACAGCACATTACGTTAGTTTAACCAGAGGTAATAAGTGATCTCTGGCAACCAGATCCTCTTGAATTAGGTAAAGCTGAAATTGGCCAATATAGCCCTAGCTGTAAAGTCTTTGGTGCTCTTGGACCTTGGTTGGTGACTGTAGAAAGTTCATCACCTGACTAGGTAATATCGTCACTGCTCACTGATATTATGTTAGGAGCCTGGTGGTGCAGTGGACTAAACTACTGCTAAAGTAGTATTTAGTTGCCAGCTGTCTGCAATTACTGTGAGTTCAATTCTCACCAGGCTCAAGGTTGACTCAGCCTTCCATCCTTCTGAGGTAGGTAAAATGAGGACCCAATTTGTGGGGGCAATAAACTGACTTTGTATAAAATAGAACAGTGGGGGGGGGGCAAAAGCCCTACTAAGCAGGTATATACAAAAGTATGAAGGCTATTGCTTAAAAGCATTGTAAGCTGCCCTGAGTCTCCGGAGAAGGGCGGCATATAAATCAAACTAATAAATAAATAAATAATAAATTCATTGGATAATGAAATATCTGCAGCTAAATAAGTAAGCTCAGAGAATACCAAGGACTCCGCAATTCAGCTCTGAGTTACAGTTTTTTTCTTCTATTTTAGCCACAGCTTTCCTTTGCTGTTGGTTCTAGATCCATGAATTCAGAAAAACTCCTAAATCATAAACCTGATATTTCATAAGAAGAGCAAACTCATTCATAGATCAAACAGGCAGAAGACAAATCAAACAAACAACTCTTATTAAGGCTCAAGTTCAGTGCTTGCATCCATATATGTGCGTATATATACTGCTAAGGCACCTTTATTATGAAAGTTGATTTTTACTACTTAAGGATTTGGTTATCAATACATCAACCTTGTTTGACATACTCTGAATTTGGGGGCTCAGGGCTACAACTAAAGGCTGAGATGATTCAGTGGACTTTTCAATTAATTTTCACAGCTATGCTATGAAGAGGGGAGGTTGGCAAGATTTAGGTGTTAACCTGGTAACACTAGCAGAGTAGCAATTGTCATTCACAGACTATAAGAGAATGAACAGAGGAGATTATGTATAGCCAGAGAAGTCATTAGGAGCACACTTTGCCACCTGTCATTCTCTTCTGCCTTGGTAGAAAGTTGTTGATATGATTGTCTTCAGCCCATTTGAATTCTGGACTTTTTTCTATCATCTAAAAAATATAATTTTAGAGTAGGGTTAGCTCATCTGCAAATCCACAGTTTATTTTCTAATCTTTAAAAGGTCAGTTTTCAGGTCATTTTAATAAATATAGTCCAATTCTAACTCTTTGTCCATACTTCATCTCTCCCATTTTTTCTGAAATTAAGTTTCTAGACAAACAGTTGGGCAAATAATTATTTCTTTTTTCTTCCAAATTGTCTCTTGCTACAGACATTTTTATAAGATATGTTAGTGATCCATATCTATCCTGATTCTAATTCATTCTTTTTAGGATCAATCCATACTGAACCATCCACCAAGTTAGATATTTCAAAGGCTAAGTTTAATAAGGCTAGCCTTTTATATATGGCTTCTTGTCCACTTCTTCAATTAACAACACCTTATTAGGCTGATTTGAGGCTTCATTTTTAATTTCCACCAAATTCAGTTCTGCTTGAAAATGATATATATATACCCTCAGGCAGTCACTTTCACAGCATATGCATATGTATAGTATATGCTTTATTTGTAGTTTTCCTTTAACAACCAACATATTTTGTGGACAGAATAGTGGGTCAACGTATTTTTTACACAGTGCTAAAAACAACAACAATAATAATACAATTACATATACATAGTTTTTATCTACCAACTTCTAACCTTAATATGCTCATTATAATTATAATATATTCTTTTGTGTATCAATATATACAATACTGTTTTCCCAATTTGTACTTATCCCCCCCCAACTTGTTAGTGTTTTTCCATAGTCACCTCTTTAAATAGTACTATTCTCTCTTTATGATTCTTTATTGCTTTCTCCAAAAATATATTTAAACATCAATTACATTTCTCCATACAATATGTTTGTTGACCCCTGTTAAATATTTTAATATTTTAAATATTACTCAAAGTTCCACCATATTTCCAATATCTCAGTTTTCTATAAACACGAATAAAACCAATTATTAATAAGATTTAATCAGTCCCAGAATTATATCTCTAACCCCTGAATTTGTAGTCCTTGAAAGCTATAAATTCCAGTATATTTTTTGCACATTGTTAATCATAATAATACATTTAAATATACCTAATCATGGTCTTCCACCACCTAACCTTAGTATATTTGTGGGTTATAATAATTCTATTATATATCTGTACATATGTTACTATTTTCCCAATTTATACTTTTTAATACAGTCACAATATTGCAAGATATTATATCTCTATCAGTCATTTCTCAGCCTTTTTTAGAATTTATTGACTTTTTGCTGATTCTTTTATATTTCTCTCTTGGGATCCTATCTTTCTTTCTAACACTTTTGCATAGACTGAATGTTCCCTCTCCCTTATCCCTTATTCCCTTCTGCTGCATAATTTGGATACCCATCCATAATCCTTTCATCATTTTTGGAAAATCTTCCTTTTTTTCTTCTGTTCTATTGTTAAGTACTTAAGGAATTATCTATTTGATTCTTAGTATTTATTGTTACTATCTTTTCAGTGTTTTTGTTTTCTTGTAACTTATTTTGATTTGTCTCCTCCACCACTTCTTCTAATTTCTCATCTGTCTTCTGAATATTATGTTCCTCTTTTCCCACCATTTGTTGAGGGTCTTCTACACTCACATTTTTATCTTTGAACAATCCCATCATCTCCTTATGATTCTTTGTCACATTTTCATAAATACTTTTAACCTAATCATAACATTCCTTCATAGAACTTTATTGTCTCCTGCTGAGGCATTTTGTACCAAATTAATGTATCAAAAATTACTCATAACATCTCTAATATTCCAGTATCCCAATATCTAAAAACTCAAAAAAGTCAATTATTAATAAAATTTAATCAATCCCAGAATTATATTTCCAAGTCTCTCAGCTTTCTAGTCCTTAAAAGCTATAAATTTATACTTTACAGTCTTTATAATTTTCCGTTTACACCTTTTCAATTGTCCAAATTTTAAAGTCTTGTTTGTCTTTTCTTCTTTTTCTCTTTTTTTTCTTTTGCCTCATAGGATGATCTATCAAGTGATGTTAGTAAACCAAATCCAGCTTGGCCCACCAGGTTTCCTAAAGTCTTTCAAATCCACCTTTCAATGAACAGTTTCAATAAAGTTTTAGTGTTTACAATTCAATTTGCCTTAAAGATCTTCAAACAGCTCACTAAATATTTCCAAGCATCCAAACTGCCTACTAAGATAAAGCCAAGGTCAAATAGCCTTCCAGGTGTTGTTTACTTTCTCTCCTTTTATCACTTTCACTTAAATTTCCCATGTTGCAGTAATTTTCTTCCTCCAGTAGATGGCTCCTCTGCTCCGAATTCCAGCATTCAACAGTGTAAAAGTCAAAACAGCTGATTGTCAAGCAATCAAGGGAGTTAAAAATAGAGTTTAGAAAATCAATTTCTTCCGATACACCATTGGAAGATAGAATAATATTAAAAGTAATGGAGTGTGCAGAGATGGATAAACTCACGAAAGAAATGCAAGAAAAAGAGGAAACAGATTACTACCTGGTATGGCAAAAATGGTACAATTGGCTGGAGAAAAGGAAAATAAAACAAAAATAGGATCACACTAAAGGAAATGGACTAATTAGACAGGAATTGAGTACCAACTAAGAAAACAATAAATTAAAAAGAGAATTCAAAATATCGTTATATAACTAAAGGAGTAGAAATATACATAAATATAGTTTACCGATATGACTATCCAAAATGCAAGTCGATCTATGTTTATTTGTTGTGTATGTTGTATATTGTCATATTTGTACTTGTTTGTTTTTCTTTTTTAACTAAATAAAAATTATTTTTAAAAAAAGAAAATCAATTTCTCCCAATAATCACTTTTCATAATATTGTTCAACTTTTTCCAGGCTTTCTGTGTTTTAAAACATCCTTTAGATATTTCTTTTGCATTTTAGTCTTTAATCTTTCTCTTTAGTTTTTAGTTTTTAATCCTTCTCCATAAGTCCAATCACCACTTTCTTAATGTTTGGAGATTGTTTTTTGGAATTTTTTACTTTGGTTAAATCTCTAAGGTAAAGGTTGGAAGTTATCTCACCCAGTTTCACTGCTCTGTCCATGGACCACTCCAGCACAAAATCTTAGTGTCCCAGTTGTCCCAGCTTTTGGCTGACCAAAATGGTCATTGTCCCTGCTGCCATTTGGGAGAGCTTTCTTCGGATCAACAAAGAAATTGTGGTTTCCTCATGATTGATGAAGCACCTTTCCTTTCTTTACCACCTGTCCAGGGCAGCTTGACCCCATAGGGTCTCCCGGCAAGCAGTTGCTGGCTGCATTTCATGGAGCCTGGCAGAACTCTACTATTTTCCGGCCATTCCCACTGTGACGTCAACCGGCGGTATATCTATCTATCTATCTATCTATCTATCTATCTATCTATCTATCTATCTATCTATCTATCTATCTATCATTATATTTTAAATCTGCTTTTATATTTTTAAAATGATTTTAACTGCATTTTAATTAATGTGTGTGTTACGTTTATATTCTTATGCTTTCTGTCTTCATTCCATAGAATGTGTCTAAGGTATTTATTACATTTGTTTGTTTGCTTGTTTGTTTGTTTGCCTGTATGAGTGCAGACCTTCTGTGGGACCAGTGGTGGGATTCAGCTGTTTCTGGTTGGTTCAGGAGACCACAAGTGAAGGAATGACCACTCTCTACCAGCTGGCCTGAGCCCGCCCACCCACTCTGTCAGATTGTGGGAGTGCCTGGCTTCCCAGCCACCCCCCAACCGATTGGAATGGCAGCAGCAGCTGTCCTTGTCCCAGAAACACCACAAAGCTTCTGTAGCCTCGTGTTGTGCTACCTGGCTGCCTTGGGAGTGAGAGGGAATAAATAGGCCATCTGGCAGCCCAAAGCATCCCTTGCTTTGCTGTCCCGCATCCGCTCTTACAAGTTTCACTGCCTTTTCTCTTTCCATGTGGCCCTCCTGATCTGCAGCGTCTTCCTTAGACAAGGGGAGCCGAGAAAAGGCAGTGAAGGTGGGAGAGCAAACAAGTGAGTGAACCTTTGCCTGCATGCTAGCCTCTTTATTCCCCCTCATTCCTGAGGCAGCCGTCTAGAAGGCAGCGGCAGCAGACGTGGCTGCCTTTTCTCTTGCTGCTTTTCTCTTTGAGACTGAGGCTCCCTACAGGTGATAGTGCTGTGCATCAAGTGGAGGGGCGGCCATTGAGTGAAAAGAAGAGCAGAAAAAAAAGTGGAGTGGAGGGGGCAGGGCAACTGAAACCCTTGCCCCCTGCATGCGTGCCTCCTGGGATTTGCCTGTATACACTGCCTCTAAAGTGGTGAGTTAAAAAAACAAGGTGAGGGAAGAAAAAAAAAAGGTGATCTGTCAGGGCAAACCAAGCAGCCTGGCTGTTTCAGGATTTAACCCTGTGATACAGGCAATGCCATGTGCTCTTGCTGGCCTGGAAGGGAGCAGGAGGGGGGAAGAGCAGAACAAATGCCTAGAATGCGGGCCTAGATCCCACCTGCTGCCGCCGCAGGATGAATCCTCCAGGAGGACGTGTGCTGTTTGGCCACTTTTGCTTCCCCTCCGTTAAAGCTGGTGCCTTGGGAAAGAGAAGAAGGGAAAGTCTTGAGACCCACAGATGCCACAAGGGGAATGGCAAGCTGGAGGAGGAGGGAACAAGAAGAAGCAAGCAAGACTGCAACAAGAGGGGGGGAAAGAGAAAGGGGCAGTTGTGATGTTGGCACTCAGGGCTGCAACATGTCCTCAAACCCCTTCCTGTGCTGGGGAAGTGGACGGCTCTCTCCTCTATCAGGCTTGTGTTTGTGCACGTGCACATGCGCATGCGCATGCACACACACAACACACACACACATGAGAGAGATGAGAAAGAGAGAGAGGGAGAAAAAGAGATGACAGAGAGAGAGAGAGAAAGAGACACTCACACACACACACACACACACACACACAGAGATACCTGTTTAAAAGAAAATACAGGGAGCTACAAAACCTGGGGAGGCATGGCTGGGGAGGGGTCATGTGACTGGGTGGGAGTGAGTGATGTCCAATTGGCTGTGCCCACCCAGTCACATGACCACCTAGCCATGCCCGCCCAGTTACATGCCCACCTAGCCACATCCACCTAGCCATGCCCACCTCGCCACGACCACAGAACCTGTTGTTAAATTATTTGAATCCCACCACTCTGTAGGACCCACCTTATTGAGCATTATCCACCCTGAAATTAGATTGGTCATTGTCCCTTTTGATATTTTGAAAGGTTCCCAAGACTCAGTTGTGTTACTAGGCCTGCAGTTCTCAAAGAACTGGATGGAGTTGGCCAGATGACTCTTTGGTTGAGAGGATCATCTTTTGTTCTCCATTTATTTATTTATTTATATTTTGAATTTTTAGGATATTTTTTACTATTTTTATATTTGTTTTCACAGTTTGACTCTTGCTGTGATTGCCCAGGGTCACCTTTGGTGAAATAGGTAGATATAAAAATTTAATTAACAAATAAATAAATAAAACGAGTCCACTTTACCCTAATCACCATCAAAGTAAAAGCTAAGTTTTCATTACATCAGCTGAAAAGCTTGAAACCCTTTTCTCCAATTCCTTTGATGGTTAACATAGAAGAGCTACAAAAGGCAGAACATGCTGTTCTAATTAAAGTAACCTTTCTGCTCTTAAGAGTTTTCTCAGGAGTTTAACTTATTAACTTATAGTATATTCTAAATTATATATATTTGTTTCCAAATGTGCTGAGACTGTGGCACAAGTATTTTGATACTAGAAGAATCTATGTGCTTTTCTAAGGACTGAGCTCCTTTAATAACCATTAGCTCTGTTATCTGAATACTTTTTACTTTCTCCTCTTCTCTGAACAAATCTAATTCCTGATGCTGGCAAATGTTCATTGATTTCTGCTGTATTATATATGCTTAGTAATTGCTTACCATTTTGTCTTTTTTCTTATCCTCTGTTACTTTAACTATGTTCTAATCATTCCCGGGAAGGTGACTTTGAAAGTTCTGTCATTAGTTTCAGGCCAATATTTTCATAGCAATTACTTTAAGTGCTTCTCCTGTCTTAGTCTTGGCACACAGGAAATAGAAGGAATGCATATCCAACTCAACAAATGTATGTTATATGGGTCCATGACTGTCAAATAAATATCTTAATGCACAGACAAAAACATGGAGAATTACATATACCAAACTGATGGATTTTTATTTTTGGAGCTATTTGTTCTGAGACAGAATTTCAGTAAATGCTAATATAATGAGCCAGGCTCTCAGAACAGCAGTGCCAAACCTCTGAGAGGACATGGAAACATGATACTTCTTTCAGAAGGTTTGAAGAGGTACTACGATCTTAGTATTTTGGAATTATTATAAAATGTAATTATTTAAATTTGCACTATCTGCTAATATCCAGAGGCTCCTAATTTACAAAACTCTTACTATGAATTGCCTGGAATCTTTGTTCTGATGCTTAATTTTGTATTACCAACTCAGAGTGGACTGGAAGATCATGACCCAGTGTCTTGTGGAAGTAAGGAACTTCATGGATCAAAATGAACTGAAATAAGATTGCTGCTAGATAGAGTTGCTGGTTTGTAGATGATTGATTTGTTTCAATTCAAATCAGCAGCTTGGCTCTAGATGGAATAATGGTCACCTTTACAGAGCAGATCCATACCTTAAAATCATCCTGGACTTGGAGCTACTGCTTGAGCAATAGATGAAAGTCATGGCTAGAGAAGGTAATACAGTAGATGATGCAAATCCTTTTGGAGCGCTTTGCAATACTGATTTGTGACTTGAGAGTAAGCAAAAGAACATTCTAGGTGTTTTCATTCCTGGTGTACAGCTGAAAGTAAACACATATATAGTTATTTCTAAGACTTCTGGGTGAAAAACGAGGGACTGAAGACAGTTGAACTAAAAATGGAGTTGAGATCACAGCAGACTGAAATAATCAGATTTTAATGATTTTATTGACAAAAGATATGGGATGAAAAAATCATTTGTTGTATTTTAAGAGAATGTGATAAGTTGCTAAAATTGTTTTTACTTGTGATAAAGAAGAAAGTTATTTCTTTGTATATTTATTTTCTTTTTTACTATATTCCTATTCTTTTTCTTTTTTAAATTGACAGTATATTAGTTTTTATCTTTTTAATTGTAATTTTAAATAAAGTTACTATTCAGAAAAATACAATTCCTTCCAGATATACTGCTGCAATGCTTTATATAAATCTGATTTTGAAGACCACTGTTACTGGTTCATTATGTAATGACCTAATCATTGACAGAAGGAAATAGGTTCAGCTTCATGATATTTTTGCAGCACTTGTTATTAAGAGACTTGTGGGTTCAATTATGATTGCCGGCTCAACTTTTAAAGCCATACCTGATTTGGCCTCTCTTTATTTGGATGATCATTTCTCTTGCTAAGATTACCCTATTCATTCACCTCAAAAAGGGGTTCTCTGGCCATTCCCCCCCAGTTGCTTCTCTCAGTGAGGTTAAGTAACAGAAGCCCAGAGATATACCTTCTTGGTGGTGATATCAATAAACAAGACCTTTAGAGATTGTACGTGTGTTTGCTTTCAGTTGTGGCATTTCACATTCTCAAGATATAGTAAAACCTTTCTCATTTTATTTAATCGTTTTATAGTGCTATTAAAACTTACTACTCTGTTCGAACTTACTATAGGCCTTCAGTTAAGCATCTGTGTTTTCTTTATAGGCAAGACTTTCAGTCTTGGGTACTCATAAACAAGTCTATTCATCACCCAATGCTACCTTGCTCTTTGAGTTATATTTCAATAATAAAACAAATGGCTGCACTGAATGTTCAGCTGAACATCTTGACCTTTGCCCATTTTAGAGGCTTTCTTTTCTTTCTTTTAGGAGGACCTGTTAACGATAAAGTCCCAGTGAGCAGCATATACCTGTTTTCTCTGTCTTTTAGCTGTTAAATAGCACTTATGAAGTTTCCCTCTTCTTGTACACTGATCTAACTTGAACATCATTTAAAGTGATGCATGTCTCTTTCTGAAAGAAGATATTCTTCCCCAACACATTTTTATGAGATTTGTTGAGATATCTCATAAAAGAACAGATATCAGCACATTTTTTTTTGAAAAAAGAAAATGGACCTTTAATTTATTCTTATGTTGCTAAAGAAAATAGTGAATTACTGTCTTGAGACAGTGGTTTAAGTGACTTGGGAGTGGGACTAGCTGAAGAGGTAGGAGCAATGAGGAGAAAATGAACATAGCAGCTTTCCATTTAGAAGTTAGGGTTGTTTTTATGTGTGTGAAGCAGGTCAAGTAATTTAGGCTTCACCTAAATCTTCATCAAAGTGAAATGCTTTGCATAGTTTTTGAGCATGCTTTACTCTCTCAGAATGCTATAAACATGATTGTTTCTCAGGATATTTTATTTATTTATTTTATTTGTCAAGCATATATAAGATGACAGATAAAGAGTATAAACATGATTTTGAATACATGAAAAGGATACGAGTAAAAATAGACATTAGGACAGGGACAATAGGCATGCTGGTGCTCTTATGCATGTCCCTTATAGACCTCTTAAATAAAAACCTCATAAAATAACTTGTATTTTATGTTCTGATTTTTTTTTGCCAATGTGCAAGACAGAGCATTTGTTGGTTGAGATTTGAAGTTGCCACTTGTTTGACCAATCTGACATATAGTCAAGATCTTTTTGAAGGGTAGTAGCATTGTCAGTGGTGTTGAATAGTTTTACATCATCAGCATACATCATACATGTCTGTGGAGAAAACATACTTTCCTTTGAGGGATGGCAGCTGTGAAATTAAACACATTCACCGGTAACAAACTAATATGATACTTTAAAAAGGCAAGGTAGATGATTAAAATTAGTGTCCTATTTATAAAAGTGTCTATACCACTGTTAGCTTATAAGAAATGGTACTTTAAGCAACATTGGGGCTTCCGGTAATCTAAAAGAGTCCTTGTGAGCTATGAGGAATGAAACTGGCTCTGAAAATCTCCCAAATAATGGCAATTGACTCAGAAAGATGGGAGTGAACATTTACTGTATATTGGAACAAAGACCTATAAGAGGCTTTGACTCTTATTTTTTATAATACAGATTTTCTATGCATATATGGCTTCATTCTTGTTTGCAATAAGAAATTAACTTTATTACATTTATGATCCTTCTGCCAAGTAAACTAGTTCCTGGATCAGGAATTAGTGACTGGGGGGAGGCTAATTTAGCCTGTAGGTGAAGACTGGCATGAGTCAAGATTTACTCCCGTTGACTTCAGTGGCACCTATATGTGATTTTCTAGCAATAATGTGCAACTTCCCAGCCTAGTCTGCATGTCTGAGATTTCCTGGTTGTTCCCTATCTCTCCCTCCTGGTCTGATACTACTTAGTTTTTTTTTTTAAGATCAGCCAAAGTTAATTAAGTGCTGCTGCCAAACTGATCATGCACAAGAGATAGTTGGATAAATTGCAACTTGACCTCTCCATCTGTTCATGCAAATACCTTGAATGGGAATTCTTGATTTTTAACATTTGGGAACTGGTGTCCAGTAGTTATTCCTAAGATTTCTATAAGAACTTGAAAAAAAATGTCCATGGGGGAATGTATATCAATAAAACAATAGGCTTGATGATTGAAATCTGGGTTAAGTAAGTTTTGCTGTTTCAAAAGAATAAATCATGGATTTGGCAGTGTTTTGTTTTTTTTTTAACTTGGAGAGGAATTATGTGGAAGAAAGGGGCAACCAGGGTGGAGTTTTCTTTGTCTGTCCTTCTGAGCTCTATTAACTGCTGCTGCTGAAGTTAAGAAGTTGTCCTCCTTGACTATCTATTCCTTTTATTCAGCATATTGAAATAAGTCATGCCTCTTATTCAGCTTCTGAAATGCAAGCACTTGCTGAGCGATTGGAGGCTTAACAGTGCCATTACAGAAACTCTTTGTGAAAAACACAGTTTTATAAGCACTGTCACTCCAGTGACAAAGGAAAATGAGCTATCTAGTCGACAGATTCTTCAGTTCAAGCTTTACATATTCCAGGATAGTGAAGCTGAGTGCATATGTGTGCACACACACACACACACACACACACACACACACACACTTCTATTTTTGGATGTAGTTCTGAAGTGACTATTAGGATCACTGACATTTTAAGTCATAAATCTTCATTCTTGTTTTGATGTATTGCTATTTGCAGACATTCCTTAATGGAAGAAGAATAACACCTTAGTCCTAGGAGAAATAAGGCTTGCCTAAGCCCAATTCTGCTTATGTGCAGCTGATATACATATAAATAGAAAGAGTTGGATAGTTTACTCCATCAGCCTAACAGGAAAAAAAATGCAATGTTGGTTATAGCATAAACATAGGTAAGGGTGAACCTTTACATTCTCAGTGAATGCTTCTAGCACTGCAATGTGTTGTCTGTCCTGAAAACATATAGCTATGTTTTCAATATCCATGCAGAGATTACAATACCTAGAATAATCCCATACCCATAGAAATTAGCCTAACTCACAATAGATGGAAGGTGCATTTTTAGAGTGATTTCCATACATGAACCACCAGAAGCATGTAATGATATTTGTGTGGTACCAGAAAATTGGGATAGCTGAGTTGCATATTTTGAACTCACCATGGCCTCAGAAGGATGCAGAGTTAGGCTTATGTCTTTAGCATAATTCATAAATCTGCCCACATTTAATTTAAAGCATGCCTATGATACCAGAAGGGATGGTAAAAGACTGCAACAAGACCTGATCAAATATAAAGCAATGAAAGTAATTCAGATGGTGATACCAATTTAGACTGAGTCTTATTCCCAGAAGAGCATGCATATAAATAGTTTGGCTGCGCAGTTAGATGCTGGTGGAAATTCTGTTTGTCTTATAGTTCCCTGGAGACGCAAATAAGCAGCTCATCCTAGTGTGTACACTGGGATGGTAAGAAGATGCTAATGAAAACACCTTAAAATGTCAATAGCTATAAATAAATCATAATGTTTATAAATGCAGTTTAATTCCATATGCTATTTAATGAAAGCAGAATGGAGGCAGTTGACAAATATTGAAGCTGAGCGTGTATGAAATAGTAGGGCATGTTGTCATTTTACAGCATTACACTACAGCTCTGCTGTCTCTCGTTCTGTCTTTGTCATAATGTGGAATTGGCAGTCAACCTACATAACAAAGCCACATAAAAGCCATCTTCTGATTTCATTGATGGCACAATTGTAGCCTATTTTAAAGCATTTTATATTGAAAATGCAAGGCAACTATTAAAGTGTAATGGCACAGAACATCAGGAGGGGGGAACAGAAAAGGGAAAGCTTGTACCGGTTTCTCATTTATGGTTGATATTTATTGCCTTTTCATTCTTATGGTATGCCTCTAAGTCAATTGAAATGCAAGTGCTAATGAAACCTTTTCCATAACACATTCATTCTCTTCCTCCACCAAAATGAGTTTACAAGACAATGTAAATGACTTACATATATCTGCAGCTCAGGTTTTATTGTTTTAGGTTAATTTATTCTCTGTAATATTCTTAATGAAAGTAATGACTCTTACACTAGTTTGTATAGTCACATCCCACAATTTTATTAAATCATGCTGGGAAAATGCATATTGGCTGCCCTAAACATTTCTGAAGTTCTTGTGTTAGAACTCGTATATAAAGGCTGTCTCCCAGGCGATTATCAGCCCAGTATATTTGTTATCCTTTGTTCCTAATTTCAACTCACTGGCTCTGTTTACTGTAAGTAGCTTTTGAAGCTGAGGAAAGTTATGTCAGAGCTACTAGATTTTATCTCCCAAACAAAA